ATTTAAGACAAGGTTGGGGTCAGGCACAGTGGCTCATGCCTGTAATCCCAGCACTTTGGGAGGCCAAGGCGGGAGAATTACCTGAGGTTGGGAGCTCGAGACCAGCCTGACCAACATGGAGAAACCCCCCATGTCTACTAAAAATACAAAATTAGCCAGGTGTGGTGGTGTATGCTTGTAATCCCAGCTATTCAGAAGGCTGAGGCAGGAGAATCGCTTGAACCTGGGAGGTGGAGATTTCAGTGAGCTGAGATGGTGCCATTACACTCCACCTGGGTAACAAAAGTGAAACTCTCTCAAAACAAAAGAAAAAAAAGAAAGAAAAAGACAAGGTTGGGCATGGCAGTCAGTGAAGAGGGGTTTGGGGTTACAGTCTGGGTCTGCAGTTCTGGGACCAAGGAAGGTAGTTAGTGGGTAGAGGCATGGTTGGGGCTGTTGGAAGGGGAATTTTAGGGGTGGGGTTTGTAACTGTTGTAGAGTGGAGTTAGGTTTGGGTATTATTGAAAAGGCACTCTGTAATCCCAGCACTTTGGGAGGCCGAGGCGGGTGGATCACGAGGTCAAGAAATCGAGATCATCCTGGTCAACATGGTGAAAACCCGTCTCTACTAAAAATACAAAAAATTAGCTGGGCACAGTGGCGCGTGCCTATAATCCCAGCTACTCGGAGGCTGAGGCAGGAGAATTGCCTGAACCCAGGAGGCGGAGGTTTCGGTGAGCCGAGATCGCGCCATTGCACTCCAGCCTGGGTAACAAGAGCGAAACTCTGTCTAAAAAAAAAAAGAAAAGAAAAGGCACTTTGGGGATATTCTTGGGAGCTGATAAAGGGCAGTTTGAGGATGTACAGCGAACTCTGTTGGAAGGTGGTGTAGGGGTAAAGGTGAGGTTTGGGAGGGTAGTTTAGTGATGATATTTGGGGATTATAGAGTGGTCTGTGGTACAATTGCTGAGTATGGTCTAGGGTGCAGTTTGGGGGTCTGTTTTGAAATCTGGATGTCAGAGGGGTATTTTGAGTTGTGAATGAGGAGCTATTGGTGGGTAATTTGGAGAGAAGTTAAAAATCATTGGATAGACTACTGTTCAGCAATAAAAGGAACAAACCACTGTTACATGCTACCACATGGATGAACAAAACATCAAGCTAAGTGAAAGAAGCCAGACATAAAAAATCCACATATTGCATTTTAATGAAATGTCCAAGGAAAGCAAATTTATAGAGACAGAAAGTAGATTAGTGATTGCCTATGGTTGAGAATAAGAATGGGGATTAACCGCATTCAGTCATGAGGGATTTTTTTGGGATAATTGGAAATGCTCTAAAACTGGGCTATAGCAACTGTTACACACTTTGGCAAATTTATTTATTTATTTAAGACGGAGTCTCACTCTGTCGCCCAGGCTGGAGTGCAGTGTCACAATCTTGACTCACTGCAACCTCCACCTCCCAGGTTCAAGCGATTCTCCTGCCTCAGCCTCCCTAGTAGCTGGGATTACAGGCGCTCACCATCATATCCAGCTAATTTTTGTATTTTGAGTAGAGACGGGGTTTCACCATGTTGGCCAGGCTGGACCTGAACCCCTGACCTCAGGTGATCTGCCCACCTCGGCCTCCCAAAGTGATGGGATTATAGGTGTGAGCCACCACGCCCTACCTCACTTTGGCAAATTTACTAAAATTGTTGAATTGCACACTTAATTGTGGATGACTTTTATGGTTCATGGTACCATAATTTTTGGTACATAATTATCATTATTAATAATTATTATCATTATTATTTTTTGAGATGGAGTCTTGCTCTATTGCCCAGGCTGGAGTGCAGTGGCAGTATCTTGGCTCACTGCAACCTCCACATCCTGAATTCAAGCAATTCTCCTGCCTCAGCCTCCTGAGTAGCTGGGATTACAGGCGTGTGCCATCATGCTTGGCTCACTTTTTGTATTTTTAGTAGAGATGGGGTTTCAGCATGTTGGCCAGGCTGGTCTTGAACTCCTGGCCTCAAGTGATCCACTCACCTCAGCCTCCCATAGTGCTGGGATTACAAATGTGAGCCACTGTCCCCAGCCTGGTACATAAATGATATCCCAATTAAGTTGTTTTAAGAAAAAAATCACTGAGAGTGCTTTGTAATTTAGGTCACTTAAGTATGATTTGGGGTGCACTTAAGACTTTAGAGGGCTTGGAGGACACATTTGGGGCCACTGGAGTATGATTTGGGGCCCAATCGGGTAACTACAGCAGGATGGTTGGTGGCTATTTGGAGGTACAGTAGAGAAGTGTTGGAGAGTGGTTTGAGGTACAGTTTGGGTAGGTGGAGTGTGGTTTAGAGGTGTAGAGGGTGCTGGAGGGTAGCTTGAAATGCAGTTGAAAGATCACAGAAAGCGTAGTTGGGTTATACCGCACAGTGATAGGGCTGTTGGAAGGTAGTTTCATTGACAAGGGGAGGTCAATGAAAGGTGGGTGTGTGGGAGGGGCCCATGGAACAGGGTTCAGAGGTAGTGTGGGTGACTGTTGGAATTACTTTGCGGTGCAGGTGAGGCCCACATTAAGGGTAGTTAGGAATGTTTGGGCTGATGTTGAGGGCTTTTGGAGAGCCATTTTGGGTAAATGGAGTATGGTTCGGAGGGTACATGGAGAGGGGTTTGGGGTCAATGGAGGGTGTTACGGGTGCACATTGGAAGTAGATAGCAGGTGATTTAGAGATGCTGTTTGGAGGGTAATGGTTTCAGGGCTGATTGCGGACGGTTTGGGGGAACAACTTGGGGGTAGGTAGTGTAAGGTAGTTTACTGCTACAGCTTGGGTGTCCTTAGAGGGTGGACTGGAGGTACCGCTTGGAATCAACACACAGTAGTTTGGGGATATAATTTGGAGGATGATGGAGGGTGGTTTGGAGTGTATTTGAGGGACAACAGGGAGAGTTGCTGTGGGAGTTTACAGATGTAGGGATAGCTTACAGAGAGCAGTTTGGGGTATTGCTTGAGGGTCCCTGGGGGATGACTTGGGGTGAGGGGCGCCACTAGGCTCCCTGAAGGGGCGTGGCCTCGGCGGGGGAGGGCTCCGCCGCCCTCGAGAAAGCGTGTGCGCACGCGCTCCCGGCTTGTTCGCTCCTGGCGCTCCCAGGGCAAGAAAAATCGAAGACCCGAGCCGGCGCCTGCGCACTTAGTATCCGCCGCTGCTGTGGTCTCGCGCCCCGCCCCCCGGTCCCCCCACCCACTAGGCTCGGCTGAGCGGCTGAGGTGGCCGTGCCGCTGGAAGCGGACAGACCCGAGTTAGAGGTGGGGGCGGGGGTTCACCGCCCGCGGCCGGGCCGGCGCTCCCCTCCCACCCTCCTTGCGACCCCCGTCTGGCCCCCACGGCTAACGGTCGCGCAGCCGAACGCGGCCCACGGGCAGGGGGCAGTAGGGGAGCAGGCGCGCTCCCGGGGACGAGAAGGGCGCAGCGAGGGAGGGGCGCGCCCACTACCCCGGCCGGCCGACACCGACCCCGCCTACCGCGGCGCGGGGACCCTCGGTGAGTAACCAGCCCCGCCTGCGGAGTAAGGGAGGGGACAGGGTGGGGTGAGGGCCCGGAAACGCCGACGGGGCGTACCTGCGCGCGCACTCGGGACATCTGACCCCGTGGCCTCAATCCTGACCCTTTCCGACCTGACTACATCTTTTTTAAACCTCAGCCTCTGCTGGCCTTGGCCTCAGGACCTTCCGTCCGAGCCCTGACTTAATCATATTCTGGCCTGGTGAGATCTTCAACCCCTGTTTTGTCACCCTAAATCCAGTCCTGACCCCAAACCCCATCCAGTTCTGTCCTGGGGACTTTGACCTGACCCCGATCCTTGCCTGACCCTGTCTCATCTCTGAAGCATCTTGCCCTATCCTGATGCCCAACACTCACCCCAGTTTCTGTCCTGACGCATGACCTGTCTGTTCTCTAAAAACTCTTATACAGTCTCCAAACCTCTTCCAGTCATGTCCTGTCCCCCTAATCCCAATCTGGTCTAGTTCTGTCCAGAACTAGACTTCTGTCCTTTCTCTGCACCCTGTATGATATCCTCTCCTATATACTCCTGATCTGCATCCTGGCTCACCACCTTTAAATACCCTCCCCTGTCTCCTGCCTTGTCCCTGCCCCTGACTCTGGTTCTGTTTTTCCCTCTTTTCTTGTCCCATCACCATCCTCATTCCTATTCTCATTGTGTCCTGGTCTTTTCTTGTTCCTGACCTCCATCCTGAACCTGCCCTTTTCCCTGTCCCCTCCTTCGACCACTGGCTTAGCCTGTCCTAGTCAGGTCTTCTGACTGCTGTTCTGTGTTAACCCTGCCCCCTGCCCTGCTGTTTTGTCTCATTCTTTTACTTTTTCTCTGACCCTTGTCTTGAACCTCACCTCATCCCATCCCCTGGCCAGCGTCCTGGCTCATTCCCCATCCTGCCCCTTGACCTCCATCCTGCGATAACTCTGGTTCTGTCCTGTCCCCTATGTTTGTTCCTGTTCTGTCCCTTCCCATCCCAGTCCCAGGCTGTTCTCCCCCTTACCATGCCCTTCCACCCTGTTCTGATCTTATTCCTTCCTAATATCCTCTTGCCATCCCTTCTGAGCCCAGGACAGGGGTCCCATTATATCATGCCCTTGAAGGTTCTGCGGTTCCCAGGACCTCTGAAGTACATCCCAAATGCTTCTCTTAGCAAGAGCAAGCAGCCCTATGCGCCCCGTGTGACTGATGGGATTTTTGTGTGTTATCTCCCCTACCCTCACTCTAGTCATGGTACATAGAGCTTACATTTCTCCTCCTGCCCCAGGAGGGCATGCAACTCTTCCTACGCCCCTGTTCTCTGCAAGCGTGAAAGAATGCCCTAAATTATTCAGTGATTCTCTGGGAGTCTGAGAGGTCTGGGTCGTGTTTCCAGCCTTGCTATGTTAGGGACTGCCTCATGTTGGGGGGAAGGGGTGAGAAAATATGAAGGGATGGGGGACCCAGGGGTAAGTATGAATCTTCTAGGCCATGTTACCTCTATTCCTTGGTCTTGATTCTGGGTGCATGATCCCTGCTTTCCCGGCCTAAAAAAGAAAAGGTCTATTCTAGGCCAAGGCTTCAGGACTTGGCATAGAGGAGGGATGGGGTCAAGGATTCATCCTCCTCCTCTCAGCAGTAAGCAATAAAAATCTTGGTGCTAAGTTCACCCCACCTCTGTGGGGCTTGTCTGTGGGGAAGAAGGCCAGGCAGTCACTAGATATAAGAATCAGGCCTGTCCAGTAGTAACAGTGACAACAACAATAATGCAGGGTTCCCTCATTGTCCAAATCTCCTTGATTCTGAGGATGATGGGGAGAACTTGAATGGCTAGAGGACAATGTGTTACTCAATTAGGTTTCATTCCTGCATTTCTCATAGAGAGTAGTGAGTTTGAATAACAAGATGCCAGACCTATCTTATTTATCCTGAACATCTATCCAAACCTGTTGATAATGACACAAGCATTTCTCACTGTCCCAATCTATTTGGTACCTGAATTCTGAGAGGGAAAGTTACCAAAGTTCAGACAGTGAAACCTACCAAATTATCTGAAGGTATTTTCTTTCACATCTTACATAGTGAGTAGGGAAAATCAAGATAATGAGGAATAATGACTCTCAGTCAAAAATATATCCAAATCTATGAACTTTCTTGAGCTCCAGGGACAAGAGTTGGGATAGTGAGGGCACCCTGTTATGTAAATATATTTGGTTCCTGCATTTTGCCTGGAGAGTAAGGAAAGTTCAAGAATGAGGGATACCAATTGTATCTTTAAAATGTTTCCAAATCCATTCAGTTCTTGCATTTGGATGGTGAGAGTTCAGACAATTTCTCTGAATGTATTTGGTTCCTGCATTTTTGATGTTGAGAAAGGAGAGGTTGGATCATGAGGGAAACAGCTCTGTTTCAAATATGTCTCATTTGGTGAGCAGGGAGGGTTTGGTGTCTGGATAGCAAGTAGAATTTGGAAGCTGAGGGATACCAGTTCTGTCTCAAAAATGCATTTGAATATACTTAGTCTCTGATTTTGGATAGCAAGAGTTCAGACAAGTTATCTGAGGAAAAACAACGTTTCAAATTTATCAAGTGAGACTGGAAGGACACCAGCTCTGTCTGGAAAAAATGTATCTGAATGTATCTACTTGATTTCTGACTTTGTTTGGGGAAGAATGCTTGTAACTGTGACAGCCAACATATACAGAGCTCTTACCAGACACTGTTCTACACAAGCTTTAAATGTATTAACTGATTTAATGCTCGCAATAGCCCCGTGAGGTACCTACTTTTATCATCGTCCCCAATTGACAGAGAGGCACAGAGAGGTTAAGTGTCTTGTTCAAGCCGTCACACAGACAGTAAGTGGCAGAGCTGGGTTGAATGCCAGATTCACCATTTACTAGTGATGGCAGGGTCACGTGAGCCCCAGGACCCAGCTAGGGTGGGGCTTAAATGTTGGGTCATCTTTGAGGCTGTTAAAAGTGGGTGAAGGGGAGGAAGGCAGCAAAACACACTGCCATGTGTGTACCTATGCAACTATCTTGCATGTTCTGCACATGTACCCCAAAACCTAAAATGCAATAAAAAAAAAAGTCATGGACCAGGGCAATGATGTGCACTGGTGACTCTGCCTCATTTGTCTGCCTGGCCCAGGAAGTCCGGTTACTTGCTCTCCCCCAGTTACCCCTGCAACAGCCCACCTCTGCGTGAGTGTATTAATTGTTGTTAGTAACAGTCATTAATGACATGGTGTGTTTCCCTGCACTTTGAAATGCCTTTCACTTGGCCTCCATTGTCTCTGTAACCACCTTTTACCCATCTTACAGATGAGGAGAATTAAGCTTTAAGACTCAATACACATTGCCAGCCAGATTCTCATCCCTCTTGGCTCTGATTTCTTTTTTTTTTTTGAAATGGAGTCTTGCTGTGTCACCCAGGCTGGAGTGCAGTGGCGCAATCTCGGCTCACTGCAACCTCTGCCTCCCGGGTTCAAGTGATTCTCCTGCCTCAGCCTCCCAAGTAGCTGGGATTACAGGCATGTGACCTGTAATTAGCCCAGCTAATTTTGTGTTTTTAGTAATTTTGTATTTTTAGTAGAGGTTTCTTCATGTTGGTCAGGCTGGTCTCGAAATCCCGACCTCAGGTGATCTGCCCACCTTGGCCTCCCAAAGTGCTGGCATTACAGGTGTAAGCCACTGCACCCAGGTGGCTCTGATTTTATTATTGTCCTTCCCAACATCCTTGATGGCCCACAAGAGGTGGGAGAGGCTGTGGCCAAGAGAACACTCCCCACTAACACCCAGTGCCCACCTTACTGCTGCCCACCTCTACCAGCCCCAGGCAGTGAAGGGAAGAGGGGGATGAAAGGGGCCTTTTCGTTCCATGCTGGAAATCTCACATCCAGGAAGAAAGGTGGGCAGGGATGGCGGGAGGCCTTAATAGTGTGAGTCTAGGGCACTGCTGATTCAGAGTGAGCTCCTCTCTAGCCTCGGCCCACCTGCAGCTTTCCTCACTCCACCTCATGGTGTGGGCTATTGCAGGGGGCTGGGTGGGGCTTGGGCCCTGGGCCCTGAAGTCACAGAGCAGATGGTCCTGAGTGGAGCACAGGATGTATGCTGTGTGCTGGGACAGGCCCGGAGCCCAGGTGGTGGTGGTGGAGCCGGGGGACAGTACATTGTAGGGACTCAAGGCTCTCATTTCCTTCTCTGGCATGAAGCCTGACTCTCCGAAGGGGAGAGACCCAGCATGGATGTGAAGAAGCAAGAGCCCCCTTCCCTACTTCTCCCCGATTGCAGGAGTAGCCTCTGTCTGCCTCCCAGCCAGGACCCAGCCCCCAGAAATTCTGATTCCACCTGCTCTTCTGCCACTGTGATCTGAATCAGGCCTCTTCACCTCTCTAAGCCTCAGCTTCTACGTCTATAAAATGGCTGTGAGTTTGGGTGAGGTCTTCCTAAAAAAATAATAAAAATAAAATGAAATAAAGTGGCTGTGAGGAGGCTGGGTCTGTGCTATCCTCCTACATTTGTAGGGACCAAGAGGGGTCAAAACCTATGAGTGTTTTGTAGGGCATAAGTTGTGCTTGGTTTTATTGAAATTATTTCTTCTGGAGCCACAGAAGGTGGTGGGATCTTGAGGCCTGGCCTCTCCTTAGACAGGTCGACTTACTCTGTCCCCAACTTGGGAAACTATTCCCCAGTGAGGGTGGAAATTGCCCCAAGACCTTCTACCACTGCCTTTCCCTGGCAGGAAAGAGTAGGGGCCTCAGAATGTGATGCTTACTGCCAAGAGACAGAAACCCAGTATCCACCCAAAGCCTCCCATGTACTTTACAGCTCCCCACACCTCTATGGCCCAGATCCAAGGTGTCCCTTGAGTGCGCCGGGTCTAATTCTCTGGGAATTTGGGCAGTAGGAGAGGGAGCTTCTGCTCCCACCACTCTCAGCCCTTCTTCCCAGTTTTCTGCTAAGTGTATGGGGTGAGGAGGCACATGCCTCCATGCCTGGCCAATGTTTTAATAATTTTTTTCATAGAGATGGGGGGGGGGTCTCACTATGTTGCACAGGCTGGCCTTGAACTCTTAGCTTTAAGCAATCCTCCCATCTCGGCCTCTCAAAGTGCTGAGATTACATGCATGAGCCATGCTGCCTAGCCCAGGGTGTTTTCTTAGACATGCTGTGCACCCTGAGCGGACCTGGCCCTGAGACTACCCCAGGGGTGGCTCTAGTCCTGGTGACAGACAGGCAAGGGTTAAAAGGTGTGGGACGGCCCAGTTCCTGGCCAGGTAGGCTGGGCCATTACCTAGTAGGAGGTGGCCAAGGCATCTGCCACTGCTGCTCACTGCCACTACCAGCCGGAGCCAGGGCCTGGTCGAGACAACTATTTTTGAGGTATCTGAGGCTACCCCACAGCGCTCTCTGGCATTGGTGAGCACCTTGGAGCAGTGGGCCCAGGGTGTGATGGGGATGAGGGCATTGGGGACCTGGGGCAAGGTGTATTGAAGTTCCCTTCGTAAGAGAGCCAGGTCTGTGGGAGAGGCACACCAACAATGCAGGGCAGGGCAGGAGAGGGGCAGCAAGAACGGAGAGCCTGCGGAGAGGGGCAAAGCCCAAAAAACTCCAATTTCCTTTCCTGGCACTGAGCCGATTCCCTGCCGGAAATGGACGAGGAGGGATCAGGGAAAAGAGAATTATGAGTCCCCCCTTCTCCACCTTATCCCTACTTCCTTTCTTCCCTGCCAGGAGTAGCCTCTGCCCTCCCTCAGCAGCTCCCCCCAAGAAAGACCTGAGTTACTGAGAAACCATTACTCAGGCACCTGTCTGCCTGTGCCCGATTTGTTCACTACAGTGGAGGAAGTGGGGGCTCCCAGACATTGAGAGTTCGTATTTGCTCTGATAGTGACAGGATGTGGAAATGCGCCCCCCCCAAGTGTTGGGGTGCCACCCAGGTGAGGTATCTTGGTTGTAAACAGTCATTACAGCCAGGAATTTCTTTCTCGGCTGTGGTGTCAGAATGGCAGACCTGAAAAACCTGCCAGGCCCGCCTGTGGGTGTGGGGGTGCTCTCTGCCGCTCTCCCGCTGCAGCTCATCCCTGGGACAGGATAGGGGCCATGGGGTCACTGGTGGGGGGAGACCTGGTATTGGAGTGGGGGTGTGCTTTCTCTCCATCTGGGTGGGGATGAGGCAGCCCCAGGCCCCGTGGCAAGTGTGCAGAGGGCAGGTGAGTGGAGGCAGAGGCTTGGGGTGGGAACTGGGTGTGGGGGTGTGGGGCATTGACCCTGTGTGTAGCCTGCCAAGTGACCCCATGACTCATGCTCTAGCTATGTCCCTCGAGGTCTGGCTGACAGGGAGGAGTTGGGGTTCCTATGTGGACCCTGTCTTGACTTCCAGGATGTTCTGAGCTCCTAGAGAAGAAAGGATTGGCTGGGCGTGGTATCTCATGCCTGTAATGCCAGCAATTTGGGAGGCCGAGGCGGTTGGATCACCTGAGGTCAGGGCTTTGAGACCAGCTTGGTCAACATGGTGAAACCCTGTCTCTACTAAAAATGCAACAATTAGCCAGGCATGGTGGCGCACCCTTGTAATCTCAGCTACTCTGGAGGCTGAAGGGGGAGAATTGCTTGAACCTGGCAAGTGGAGGCTGCAGTGAACTGAGATTGTGCCACTGCACTCCAGCTTGAGGGACGGAGCCAGACTCTGTCTCCAAAATAAAAATAAAATAAAATAAAATAAAAGGATTGAAGCAGCCCAGCATGGGATTGGGAACAATGCTGGCAAAGGGGACCATGGATGGAGTTGGGTTCCTATGGGGGTGGAGGAAGGTTCCAGGAAGCCCTATGAGAGTTCCTCAGGCCTAAAAGGGGCCTGGGAAAATTGGAGCCCCAGTGAGCTGGGGTGTGGAGAAACTCCTGCCATGCTGGGAAATGTCAGACCTTAGATGAGTGGGGATGTGAATGCCTCTGCTGGGGCCTGGGTTTGTCAAAAGGCTTTAGGGACTGATTCCCACCCCTGCTATTGAAGGCAGGGCACCACTGCTTCAAGAGAGGGGTACAGGCCCTATGGGGCAGGTAGGAGGACTCCAGAGAAAACTGACACCTTATAGACAGCTTGGCCTCACCCTACGATATACAGATGGGGAAGGGGCTTGAACCCATGCCTCCTTGGTTGGCTGGGTCTTCCTCACACCAGGCTAACAGTGTCATGACAAGCTGCCAAGTTCAAGGTAGGTGATGATGGGAACTCTGTGGCCCCATAAAACCCTCCCAGTCACCTGCCATTGAGGTTAGGCCAGGTGGTGGGAGGTGATGTCACTCAGCTCCCCAGCTGGGGACTGAGCAGGATGTGGAAGGGAGGGAGCAAACTCCAAAGGAGGGGACAAGGGCAGGGCTGGTGGCCAGCCAAGTCAGGCTCCATGGTCAGCAGAGGCATTGAGGGCAGAGAAGGAGGCAGGAGGCAGGAGGCAGGTGGTTTGTTATTTTCAGCTGTGGACTTTACTTCTTACAAATTCCAGCAGGGGGACTTCCCTAGCTAGGCTCAGGACAGGCTGGCATGGGAAGAGGGGCTGGAGGGACCCTGGGTCAAGTGAACCTAGTGAACACTCTCCTTGCTGCACTAGAGCTACAGAATGGAGTTGGGACAAGCACAGACCCACAGATCTGGGCTTGAACCCTGGCTCCACTGCCTCCTCATTCATTTACTCCGTCTTTTATTCATTCACCTGGCACCCATTCATTGAGCACTTGCGTGTACAGCCGTGTTCAGGATGCTGGCAATGCTGATGAAAATGGGACAGATAATGTTTTCTATCATTGCGGATGTTCCAGGAGGCATAATCTCTTGTTGGACAACCATTTGTGAGAGAATATAACACAGGGGCCCCCTGTGGAAGTGATATTTAAGCTTTAGAATGATAAGTGACACGAAGGGGCTGGGGTGGTGACAGATTGAAGAAAGCATTTCAGGCAGCAGCCACAGCCTGGGCAAAGACCCTGAGGCCTGAGGGACCAGGGAACTTATGAGGAAGTTGGTGGAGTTGAAGCGGTTCTCGTGAGCAAGAGTGTAGGTCCAGGGGGTGGACCTGGGTTATGTATGTGGCTATGGGCCAGTTATTTCACCTCTGTGCCTTCCTCTCCTCATCTGTAAAATGGGAGTATGAATCTTCCCAGGTGGCTGTGAAGATTCACTGTGGCATTGTAGGTAACTGTTGCAGGCAACCAGGTGCTGACTGCGTGGCTGTTGTTCTTATGGTTGGTTGAATCTGTCCCATTAATTCTCCCTCCCCAGGCAAGACTCCTGGCTGTGACCCATGGGCCTCTGAGGAGGCGTTGTAAGTCCGCCCAGCTCCCCACTTGCTGTGCTCCCACTCAATGCGAAGGGAACCAAGGTACCAGGGCCAAGTGGGTCCAGACATCCACACGGATTCTGAAAGGGCAGGTCAAGCAGGCACGTGGGGCCCAGGTTACCCCTTATTCCCTGCTGTGGCATGGGAAGTTGGGAAGGGCTGGGGGTTGGGGTATCATGGGACGTGCTTCCTTAACGGCTCCTGTGTGTCACTGCCAGACTTTGTCCAGCCATCAGCCACGGCCTCTCAACAGCACCAAGATGGAAGTCAAAGGTCAGCTGATCAGCTCTCCTACCTTCAATGCCCCAGGTCGGTGGCTGCTTCCCCTCCTGTTGCCTCCTCCCCTGCTCTAAATCACCACCTGCTTGCTTGGGAAGAGTTGGTCCCTGGCCCCACAGCTGCTCCAGGATGCCCTGGCTGTCCCACTGATCTTTGCTCCCTCTGTGTCCAGCTGCCCTGTTCGGAGAGGCTGCCCCCCAGGTGAAGTCAGAGCGTCTGCGGGGGTTGCTTGACCGGCAGCGGACCCTACAGGAGGCCCTGAGCCTGAAACTTCAGGAGCTCCGCAAAGTGTGTCTCCAGGAGGCGGTAAGGGCCTGGCCCTAGGGGTGTCAGGCGGGGAGGTGGTGGGGGAGGTGAGGAGCTGGGTCCCCTAGATAGACAGACTTGGGTGGCAGTTGTTCAACCACTTGTCCTGTCTGTGTCACCCACTTTTCTCTGTCACCCACTTTCTCAAAGCTCAGCTTAGCTGTGTTAGAATGAATGAAATACGGTAATACAGGCACACAATCCCCTGTCGACAATTTCAAATCCAACAAACCTTAGAAAACAGGTTCTGTTCAAAATTTGGCAGCACAGTCAGACCTGAACTGGCACAGGGTGATGTGTAGTTTCAGTTTCCCCCTCTTACTGTGAATGCCCACAGTGTGCCAGAAATAATACTATAGCTCAGACCACGCAGCCCCAGCCCCCGAAGGGAGTTATATAATACTTAGGATCTCGATGGTATCGCTTTTATAAAAATGAAACAATTTTGGATCCCAAAGCAGGTCTCCCTGCCTCTCATGCCCACCACCACAGGGGTTTGGGCCATTGAGATTTGGGCACGCCTGCCTGTTGGACATAATGGGAGGAGGAAGGGAAGTATCGTGTGTGGGTGCTGAGCAGGGCCAGGCTCCTGGTAGGACTTCTGTAGCTTCTGGGATCATTAATGTGTTACCGCATCCTTCCAACTAACCCTTGGTAGTCTCTGACTTCTGCCCTCCACCAGGAGCTGACTGGCCAGCTGCCCCCTGAGTGCCCGTTGGAGCCTGGTGAACGGCCCCAGTTGGTCCGCCGGCGGCCCCCCACAGCCCGCGCCTACCCTCCACCACACCCCAACCCAGCACACCACTCCTTGTGCCCTGCTGAGGTGAGCAGATGGGTGTGGAGAGCAAGAGGGTGGGGAGAGGGGACAGGTACAGAGGAGTAGCCAGGAGGAAGGTATGGGGAGGGGGCTTGTGGCCAGGTGAGGGAGAGGCTAAGGTGAGAAGGAAAAGGGCTTCTGGAGGTAGGTTCCTGCAATGAGGGAGGATGCTGGTCCCTAACTGTCAGGACAGGCCTCCCATGCTCAGGAAGATAAACAGTCCCAGTCCTTCACCAAGAGAGGCCCTGCCCTGCCCTGCCCTGCCCCCTCCCCTCCCTGGGGTAAATAAGTTCCACCTGCAGGTGAATAGGCCTGAATAGGCCACTGGAAGTGCAGGACAGCCTCTAGTGGGTTTGGCTCCACCAGGTCCCTGTGCCTGGCCATTTCCAACATTTGGATGGGCCCGACAGGAGCTGGCTCTTGAGGCCCTGGAGCGTGAGGTGTCGGTGCAGCAGCAGATTGCAGCAGCTGCCCGCCGCCTGGCCCTGGCCCCTGATTTGAGCACCGAGCAGCGCCGGCGCCGGCGCCAGGTCCAGGCAGACGCACTGCGGAGGCTGCACGAGCTGGAGGAGCAGCTCGGGGACGTCCGGGCCCGCCTTGGCCTCCCAGTGCTCCCACCACCCCAGCCACTGCCACTGTCTACGGGGCCAGTGATCACCGCCCAGGGAGTCTGCCTGGGCATGCGGCTCACTCAGCTCAGCCAAGGTGAGCATCCCCTGGTGAGGGTGAGAGAGTGGACACTGTTGAATGGACGTGGTAGGGCTGGGATGGGTGAGTGGCCGGGAGGTAGGCACAACTCAAGTAGCCCAACCCATGTGAAGAGTTGTGACAAACTGGCTCATTGGAAAGGGCAAACTGAGGGGGACTGATAAATATCTGCCGGGTCAGGAACCAAACCAGTGTGGTCCTGGGCTCTGGTAAAAGCAGATTCTTGGGAAGGCAACAGGGTGAGGAGGAAACTGGTCAGAAGGTGGGCCAAGTGGAGGTGCTCACCCAGTGGTGTAAGGGGGTGGCACCTAGGCCTGGGAGTGAGAGGCCCACTTCTCCCCCTCTAACCTGTAGAGGACGTAGTTCTGCACTCGGAGAGCAGCTCCCTCTCAGAATCTGGGGCCAGCCATGACAACGGTGAGGACTCCTATCCCCCAAACCTGCCTCTGACCCCTGCATCCCCTCAGCCTATCCCCTTTTTTCCTTCCGACCACATCCTGCATGATCAGCCCATCCTTTGATGCCCAGCCCTTCCTGTGCTTCTTCAGCTTCTCCTTAGCCATGCCCTATCTTCCTGTGGGTCCCCCATCTTTTTAGCCTCACCCCACCCCAGCCCTGCAGCCCCAGAACCTACTTGTTAGCCATAGCTCCTCCTCACCCTGCTTAACCTGCCCCAGCACTTTGCCCCTCCCCATGGCCTTGCCCCCCAGCCTGTCCTGCCCCCACTGGGCCCCCCTCATTGAATTCTACACCAGTTGCTCTCTTCCACCCAGAGGAGCCCCATGGCTGCTTCTCTATGGCCGAGCGCCCCTCACCACCCAAGGCTTGGGACCAGCTGCGGGCAGTATCTGGGGGGAGCCCTGAGCGGCGAACCCCATGGAAACCACCCCCATCAGATCTTTACGGGGATCTGAAGAGCCGGCGGAACTCTGTGGCCAGCCCCACCAGGTGAGAATGAGCTCATCTTCCCTTTCACAGGAGCTGGGAATGGGATAGCAAGCCTGGGCTGGCGGAGGGTCTGCTGGCGGGTACAGTCTCTAACCTGGGCCCCTACCTGGGCCTGCCCATCTTTGTCTAGCCCCACACGCTCGCTGCCCAGGAGTGCCTCCAGTTTTGAGGGCCGAAGTGTGCCTGCCACCCCTGTCCTCACCCGGGGCGCTGGCCCCCAGCTCTGCAAGTAAGGGGAATCTGAGGGTGGGCTGGAGGATCAGAGGGGAGGGAACCATTAGTTCTTACTGGAGGCTTGAGGACAGCATTATCAAAAGGTGTGGGATGGCTGGGCACCATGGCTCACGCCTGTAATCCCAGCACTTTGGGAAGCTTGAGGCCAGGGGTTCAAGACCAGCCTGACCAACATGGTGAAACCCCTGTCTCTACTAAAAATTAGCCGGGCATGGTGAGGCATGCCTGTAATCCCCGCTACTTGGGAGACTGAGGCAGGAGAATTGATTTAACCTGGGAGGTGGAGGTTGCAGTGAGCCGAGATTGAGATTACGCCATTGCACTCCAGCCTGGGCAATAAGAGCGAAACTCCCTCTCAAAAGAAACCAAAAAAAGGTGTGGGACATGGGAGGCTGGGTGCTAAAGGTGAAAAGGCATCATCTCGGTGGAGAATGGGGTGGGGATTTGGGGCAGAAGCACCAAAGTTTGAGTACAGGCTTTTCTGTGCATTTTGGACAAGCCATTCCCTTGCTCTGGATCATTGTCTCCTCATTTGTGAAATGGGAATAATAATGTCTGCCTTTGAAAGACATGGACATAAGTTCTTGTTAACATATTCCGAGTGCCTGCCACCTGCTAGGAATTAGTGTGTTACCTGGTATCAACTCATTTAATCATCATGAGATCCCTGTGGCTGCTGTTGTTATTCCCATTTTATAGATGAGGCCAGTAAGGCACAGAAAGGTTAAGTAACTTGTTAATAAACTGAAGTCCTGGAGTTTGAACCCAGGCAAGTTTGACTCTAGAGTCCATGCTTTTAACCACTTTCCTCTTCTTCTTAAACAGAGTGCCTACTTTCTGCAGGCTCTGAACAAAACCAAGTCCCCATCCTTGTGGGGCTTGCGTTCTGTGAATGGTGGCTGCTGGGATAGTAGCTTTAGGTGGTTCATACAGACAGTTAGATATAGAATTCAGGCAGAGTTTTACATGTGGGCCATAAGGCCTGAGACTCAATCCTGGAGGCCATGTGAGCCATGAGAAGGGCCTTAGAAGCAGGAGGGGTCAACTGGATTAGGAAGAGCCCCCTGTTTGGCCCCTCCTCTGCTAGCTATGAGTCCCTACACATATTTTTACCTCCCTTGGAACTAACAGCACCAGGCCTCCCCCATACGTTTCTACTCCCAACCCCCTAGCCTGAGACAGAACCTTAGCTGCCCTTTACATGTCACTACCTGCCACCTTTATACACACAGCTTCCAACCCTGGGCCCATTTGGAGATGTGAAAGTGAAGGCTCAGCTGGGCGCCGTGGCTCACGCCTGTAATCCCAGCACTTTGGGAGGCTGAGGTGGGTGGATCACAAGGGCAGGAGTTTGAGACTAGCCTGACCAACATGGTGAAACCCCATCTCTACTAAAATAAATACAAAAATTAGCCAGGCGTGGTGGTGCACACCTGTAGTCCCAGCTACTCGGGAGGCTGAGGCAGGTGAATCACTTGAACCCAGGAGGTGGAGGTTGCAGTGAGCTGAGATCGTGCCACTGCACTCCAGCCTGGGCGACAGAGTGAGACTGTCTCAGGAAAAAAAGAAAAAAAAGTGAAGGCTCAGAAAGGGGTGGGGTAGGGAGGGCACTGCAGGCCTGACTGATTTTTATGAACCTATTCCCATGACCCTCACCTCTCACTCCAGACCTGAAGGCCTTCATTCTCGCCAGTGGTCCGGCAGCCAGGACTCCCAGATGGGTTTCCCCCGGGCAGACCCTGCCTCCGATCGCGCCTCCCTCTTCGTAGCTCGCACCCGCCGCAGCAACAGCTCTGAGGCCCTGCTGGTGGACCGGGCAGCTGGTGGGGGAGCCGGCTCCCCGCCTGCCCCTCTGGCTCCCTCTGCCTCTGGCCCCCCAGTCTGCAAGAGCAGTGAGGTGTTGTATGAGCGCCCCCAACCAACCCCTGCCTTCTCCTCCCGCACAGCTGGGCCCCCAGACCCTCCCCGGGCCGCCCGGCCTAGCTCAGCTGCCCCTGCCTCTCGAGGTGCCCCCCGGCTCCCACCTGTGTGTGGGGACTTCCTCTTGGACTATTCCCTGGATCGTGGCCTGCCCCGCAGTGGCGGTGGAGCAGGCTGGGGGGAGCTGTTGCCTGCAGCTGAGGTCCCAGGACCGCTCTCCCGCCGGGACGGGCTCCTCACCATGCTCCCTGGCCCACCACCTGTGTATGCAGCTGATGGCAACAGCCCCCTCCTCCGCACCAAGGACCCCCACACCCGTGCCACGCGCACCAAGCCCTGTGGCCTGCCCCCAGAGGCTGCTGAGGGCCCTGAGGTACATCCAAACCCTCTGCTGTGGATGCCCCCACCCACCCGTATCCCTTCAGCTGGTGAACGCAGTGGCCACAAGAACCTGGCCCTGGAGGGGCTGCGGGACTGGTACATCCGGAACTCAGGACTGGCTGCGGGGCCCCAGCGCCGGCCTGTGCTCCCCTCTGCGGGCCCGTCACACCCAACCTTTCTCCATGCCCGCTGCTATGAAGTGGGCCAGGCGCTGTACGGGGCCCCCAGCCAGGCGCCACTCCCACACTCGAGGAGTTTCACGGCACCCCCTGTCTCTGGCAGGTATGGGGGGTGCTTTTACTGATGGGTAGGGGTCTCTTAAGGCAGATGGTGAATATATCCAGGCCAGGGAATGGCTAGTCATGATTGCTAATGAATTGGACCATGAGGAAACTAGCTGCTGCGATGGCATAGGGTCACTCTGCTGCACATGATCTGCATTAGTCCATGGGGTCCTGGTGGAGGGGATCTTGGGCGCTGGTAGCAGCAGTTCTTTATCAAGTTATAGGCTGAAGATGAGCCTTGACGCAGGGTGCTGGGAGGAAGGGACATCTATGCCCCTTGCCATTCTCTTCCTTTTCTCTCCTTGCCCCAGAGCCTGAAATTGCTGTCCTATGCCTGCCTCCACCTCTTTAACGAGCCTCTTCCTTTCTCTTTCTTTGTCTTGTCTGCCTTTTCCTCTCTTCTTGTCTTCTCCGCCCTGTCCTCCGGATTCCTGCTACCCTTCTAAAGATACTACGCGGACTTCCTGTATCCCCCGGAGCTGAGCGCTCGTTTAAGTGACCTGACGCTAGAGGGGGAGCAGTCCTCCAGTTCTGACACCCAGACCCCAGGGACGCTGGTCTGACCCCTTCTGATATGCCCCTTGTTGGCCTGGGCACGATTCCAGTCTGGGGAGCACACAGCTGACCTCGATGGGCCCTGGGATGTGGTTGCTCTCAGTCCTGAGCGGAGTGTGCCAACCTTACCTTCCAAGGCCTCTGGCTTCCTGTGGGCCCAGGAAGGTGTCTGACACCCTGCTTCTCTCACACTGTACTGGGGACTGGGGGCCTTCAGCCAGCTTAAAAGAGAGGGGATGATGTCATGGGGACCCCAAGCCCCTTCCTCCATTTCTGTTTACAGTTGTAACTTAGGTATTCACTGTCTTCCTCCAACACTAGGCGTTTTATAAAAGGGAAACTGTGATCTCATCTGGTTGGGTTCATTCCTATTCCCATGCCCAACCAGGTTCCATTCAGGAACCCCCTCCATAAAATGGACCATATCGGGTCTCAGGGCCATTTAGGGCAGCCAGGAGACTCTGGTGTGAACAGAAGTCCCTGCCACCCATTGCCAGGGCGTTAGTGGGGCAGTGAGCTCTCTGCCCACACTTGGAAGGACTACAGTCTGGGTGGGATGCCTGAAGAAGCCCAGTTCCATCTGTGCCCAAAGCCTCTATCCTGACCACCCCTAGTCAGGAGACCCCACAGGAGGGGCAAAGGGCTATATGTGTGCTGTGTCCTGGGATGCTGTGGGGTTGAACCTGGCATCCAGTAGATGCCAGTAAAATCCTCAGGTGAGGTCTGGCCACAGGCCACGGGCCACTCACACCTTCCTTGGCTTTCCTTCCATCCACCACTTATTGTTTTTTTGTGGGGTGGAGTCTTGCCCTGTCATCCAGACTGGAGTTTAGTGGCACGGTCTTGGCTCACTGCAACCTCCGCCTCCTGGGTTCAAGAAATTCTCCTGCCTCAGCTGCCTGAGTAGCTGGGATTACAGGTACATGCCACCACGCCCGGCTGATTTTTGTTTTCTTTGTAGAGACAGGGTTTCACCATGTTGGCCAGGCTGGTCTCGAACCCTTGACCTCGTGATCTGCCCACCTCAGTCTCCCAAAGTGCTGGGATTACAGGTGTGAGACACTGTGCCCAGCCCCCATCTACCACTTTTTAAGCAAACTCACACAAGTTGTGTTTTCTATGATACCTGTCTGTGACTTTCTGGAGCTGGGGGTTCCCCTACCCCCTTTTCCTGGTGTTAAACTTTTCTTTTTGTACCAATGGATCTGGGCCCAAGACATTACCCACACTGGAAGGGGATTTCTATAATAAATGTGTAAACTGAACCCATGTGTTGCTGCTCTGTCTGCCTTGCCTTGAGGGCCCACACCTTTAGTCAAGACCAGATAATATATTTTTACAGGAAAAAACATACCTTGGGAATAGCCTGTGATAGTGTCGTCTGTTTTGACTTTACTTGCTTTGTGATGTGGGGCAACTTCTTTGCCTGTCTGCACTCAGATTTCTAGCCAACCTCAAATAATAACTCTTGGTAATATAATATAAATGATGATAATAAAGATTCTCTGTTCTTAACCTCCCTATACTTTTAAATTTTTTCTTTCTCTTTCCTTTCTTTCCTTCTTGCTTTTCTTTCCTCCTTTCTTTCTCTCTCTCCCCCTCCCTTCCTTCCTTCCTTCTTTCTTTCTTGACTCTTGCTCTGTTGCCAGGCTGGAGTGCAGTGGCAAAATCTCAGCTGACTGCAATCTCTGACTCCCTGGTTCAAGCAAATTCACCTGCTTCAGCCTCCCAAGTAGCTGGGACTACTGTCACGTGCCGTCACACTCGGCTAATTTTTGTATTTTTAGTAGATGGGGTTTCACCATGTTGGTGAGGATGGTGTCGATCTCTTGACCTTGTGATCCATCCACCTTGGCCTCCCAAAGTGCTGGGATTACAGGCCTGAGCCACTGTGCCCAGCCTAATTTTTATCTTTTTGAGACAATGTCTCATTCTGTTGCCCAGGCTGAAATGTAGTGGTGGTGATAACGGCTCACTACAGCCTTGACCTCCCAGACTCAAAGAATCTTCCCACCTCCACCTCCTGAATAGTTGGAACAACAGTTGTGCACCACTATACCCGCGAATTAAAAAGAAAATTGTAAGCCGGGCGTGGTGGCTCACGCCTGTAATCTCAGCACTTTGGGAAGCTAAGGCGGGCAGATCACGAGGTCAGGAGATCAAGATCATCCTGCCCAACATGGTGAAACCCTGTCTCTACTAAAAATACAAAAAATTAGGCATGGTGGCACGCACCTGTAGTCCCAGCTACTCAGAAGGCTGAGGATGCAGTGAGCGAAAACTGTGCCACTGCGCTCCTCCACTCCAGTCCAGGTGACAGAGCGAGACTCCGTCTCAAAATAATAATATAGAGATGAGGTCTAATATTTCACGGGTTAGTCTTGGACTCCTGGGCTTGACTCCTCCTGCCTCAGCCTCCCAAAGTGCTGGGATTACAGGCATTAGTTACCATGCCCAGCTTTTTGAGACAGGTTCCTGCTGTTGCCCAGGTTGGAGTGCAATGGCACAATCACAGCTTACTGCAGCCTCTACCTCTTGGACTCTAGCCATCCTCCTGCCACACCCTCCCAAGTAGCTGGAACTACAGAAGCACACCACCATGTCCAGCTAAGTTTTAATTTTTTTAAGAGATAGATAGAGCCTTGCTATATTACCCAGGCTGGTCTCAAACTCCTAGCCTCAAGTGATCCTCCCATCTCAGCCTCCCAAAGTGTTGGAATTACAGGCATGAGCCACCGCACCTGCCCTCCCCTGCACTTCAATGCTGATCCAGAGGTAAGAGGTTCAAGGAAGGGCCTCAGAGATCACCTCTTAAGCCCACATATTCACTAAGAGTCTAGCAGAATTGAAAAGTAGAAGGCCACTTCTGTCCTTTGAAATGTGCAAGTTTACCCAGGAGGCTCCAATTGGCTTGAGAATGCAACAGCCTTTATTGTTGCAGCAACACTAACATATATGCCCCATTCCCTGCCGAGGCTTGTCCCCACCCCACCCCTTGGTTGTCAATGGTGTGGAACATTGGGATGAGGGGAAAAATCCCTAAGCAGAGCTGGAGGGAGGCAAGTGGGACTGGTGAGGGTCGGGATAACCTGGGACCAGGGGTCCAACAGTCAGGATACCTGACTCCACACAGGGGCCTGGAACACTTGGGTTTTGAGTTCAAGATTTGGCAACGTCTTGACCTGGGTTGAAAGGTAGGATGGGGTCTGGAAAAGCTTTGGTCCAGGGTTCAAGATTTGAGAGTGCCTTGCACTAGGCCCCAGTTTGGGGCTGAGCATGGAGAAGTGTGGATGGGAGTGTCTCTGGGTTCACAATTTGAAACTGACCATGGATGCTCTGGCCTCAAGCCCCAGTTTTGGGGCTAGATGTAGGTGGCTCTGGGTCCCAGGTTCAGGGCTGGGGAAGATTCTTGTCCTTAGGTAACGGGGGCTAGGTGGGAGGGATATCCTACTCTGGGGCCGGCATGGGGGTAGGGCAGTCACATATATCCTGTTTGGTTTGGGCAGGGGGCTCTAGGCTCCTGTTTTAAGTTCTGGAAAAGGGCTCTGGATCCCAATTATGGGCTGGGGGTGGGGTGGTATTCTCCAGGTCCTGGGAACAGATCACAGGGGCCTAGGATCCAGCCTCCTGCTCTTGTCCCAGCGCCTCTAGTAGCAGGCCCATTGGCGTCCGCTTGAGACCAATGCTCTCGATCTTGTTCTCAATCTTGTTCTTAAGGTTGCGCAGGCGCAATGAGGCATGCACCAGGATCACTGTGGGCGGCACCAAGAGGAGGGGTCAGTGGAATAGACTCAACCTGCAGCCAACTGGGGCCCACCGAAGGGAATTGGCGCGCAGGCAGGCCAATGGAGTGGTGAGCGGCCAGGATGCCTCGGATCCTAAAAGCGTGGCCGACTTGGCTTGGCAACGTAGGCATGGCCAGGGAGGGATCCCGGTAACGGGGACGTGGCCAGTGGAAGGCATTTAACACCAGGAGTGAGATGGGAAAGGCGGTAATAAAAGGGGCGTTCCCAGAAGGGGGAAAGATGTCCAGGAAGGCGCTTTTAACGGGGGCATGGCCAGGCCCTCCGGGTTTCCCAGCCCCCTCTCAACCCAGGGACGGGGTAGGGCTGCCTGGTGCTGTAAGCATGCTCTGGCCGCTTTCTCAGCTATCTCGGGGTAGTGGAGACTCACGAAGCACCGGCCCGGCGATGCTGAGCAGGAAGGTGCAAGCGCCGCCCACGACCCAGAGAACCAGGAGGCCGACGGCAAGCACTGCGGCCAGGCAGGCGGCGGGGTGGCTGCGGCGGCAGCGGCGCACAGCTGAGCGGGTTTCAGCTGCCCACACCAGCACGCCGAGGGCCACCGCCACTACCAGCGCGCTCAGGAGCGTGTGCAGCGGACGCATGTACCTGCGGATACAAGGGAACTAAGCTAGCCGGCCGGGCAGAGGGAAGGCCTCCCGGTTTCCCGGACCAAATCCCACTCTGGGCCCCAAGAACCAGAGTCTCCCGTCTCTGGACACTCCAGCCCGGCACATTCTCCCACCAGCCCTATCTCCAGCAGGCCCATCCGCCAGGGCTCCCGACTCACAGATCCCTGTGGACCTCTCATTTCCTCCTTGTCAGTTCCACTGTCCTGTCTTCCTCAGGTCCCCACTTCAGGCCCTCCCATCCCGCTAGATGTTCCCCCCACCCTTGGGCTCCCAACACTTCCCTGGACTTTACTGTTGTTGACTCTACCCCCATAGGGCCCCTCACCAACCTACTCTTTGACCCCAGCCCCTGCAGATCCTTCTTCCACGCCTTCTGTCTCCACACACTCCCCTCTCCCCAGGCCTAGAGTCCTTATAGGATCCCCCTCCAGGCTTCTTCCCCTCCCAGTGCCCCCTCCAGGCTGCTGTTTCCCTATAGATTCCTCCATCCATCATCGCTAGAACCTCTTCCAGGTCGTCAGCCCCACTCTGAACTTCCAGCCCTGCTCAAGTCCCTCCTCCAGATTCTCCGTTCCTCTCATCTCAGGCTTTCCAACCATGGAACCTCCTCCTGGGCCCAAGTTCCCAACAGGTACCTGCCCCTGGCACCTTCCAATCATAGCCAGGCTCCCCTGCAAGACCGAATCCTCAATAAGTACATCTTCCACACCCTCCAACTTTACCGTCCATTTCCCTGTCTCTGCCCTAAGTACTCCAGGGTCGGCCTCAATCTGGCCCCATCATTCACATTACAACCCCCTGACACACACCCCTAAAGTACTCTCATATTCCCCTTTCAGGTCCTCCTTTTCTTCAGGTTCACCTACCAGCACACTTTCCCCTTCAGTCCCACACTTTTCTCCATCCTCCCCAGGTCTTCTCTTCAGACCCCCATCCCCGACAGGCCCTCCTCATCAGCCAGACTCCATCTCCCTGAGGCCCTCCTTATAACTATGCTCCACTTCCTTCAAGGCCTCCCTTCCAAGCCCCTCAGGCCGTCCATGTCTACTGAATTCGCCCTTCCCGGCCTTGCATCCCCCTCAGGTTCCCCGTCCTGGTCCTCAAAGATCCGTGGGTCTACCCCCCACGCCTTGCAGACGTCCCCAGCCAACCGGCGCCTCCTTCCCTCCCTCACCCGGCGAGAGTGAGGCCGATGCCGAAGCAGAGAAGGTAGTTGGTTTGGTAGTAGAGGAGGTTGTTGATGACGCGGTGGCACCATCGCTGCGGGTCGCATGGATCCGGAGCCGCCAGGCGCGCCGACCCCAGAACAAAGTCGTCCAGGGCGCGTAGCGGTGGCAGCCGCACCTCCGACATCCTGGCGGTTAATGTGGCTGGACCAGCAAGGAGGGGGCCGGACTACAACAACCGTTACGCCGCTCGCCACCGCGGGGCACACCGGGAAATGGAGTCTGGGTTGGGCAGCTACTTTCCTAACCTAGGTGGATTGCGCAGGGGCGGCGATGCATGTGACCGGAAAAGTAACTAACACGCCGTTCCGGAAAGCAGCAAAGGCTGCCGGGAAATCAAGCCTCGGCCAAGGGGCGAGACCTTCCCATCCTTTAACACTGCTATCCACCCCCGCGAGAGGCGCCGCAGGAGCTGTTCCGGGCGGTGCCAGCGGCTCAAGCACAAAGTAGCCAGACAGATAAGAAAGGAGGGACTGTCACGAGGATGCGAGTTGGATTCCACCTCCTTCCTGTCAGCGTCCAAGACGGTCACATTTCTCCTGGAAACTCCATGCCCCGCCCCTAAGGTCAAGTCATAAATGCCATTAAGGGCCTTTTATTCGTATTCATCACATCAGAGATCATCTGTTCCTGGGAAGCTTATAAAAAATCCCCAGGTTGGATTAGGCCACTCCCTCTGGGTCCCTAGCAATTTCTTCCAGGTTGGGGATCCCAAGGGGTCTCTGCCTTCCTGGGTCCCTGGCTTGGCCCTTGGGGCACACAGTCATCAAGAAGTGCTGGGGGAAGTGAGCTCTTTATTTAGACATAGCTCTGCTGAGTGGAAAGTGGGCACTGGCCCCATTAATGCTTGCTGGCAGGTAGCGTCCAAGCATGCCCCACTGCCAAGGCTCATCTCTGCAGTCTGCCACTGTAGGTCCCTAGCACAGCCCCCAGGGCTCTTAAAAGTCATCATCATCACAGATGTCAAGGTACACGTCGAAAGCCTCTCTGTTGCAGTTTCCATCAGGAGTGAAGACATATTTGTGGAAGGTCCCATCTACGCAGATGGCTGGGGGAGGGGGGTGGTAAGATGTCAGAGGCTGCCATAGCCACAGGCTCCAATCCTCTCAGGCATCTCAGGACCTAGCATCTGCCTCCAAGCCTTTGCCTAGTGCTGTCCCCCTTACTGATAATGAAGCTGAGCCTCACATGGCCCTAAAATTCTTTCAGTTCCAACCTGCAGACCTTTGCCCCATGCAGTACCCCCAACCAAGGGGCTATTCCCACTCACCAATGACAGAGTTGACGTTCTTGGAAGTATTGCGACCGAAGGCGCAGATGCAGGCTGACTCAGCAGGCACAGTGAAGCTCGCCAGGCTCCACTGAGAGTCCACGTACTGCCCAATCATAGGCCCCACCTTGCCCACGCGAGCCAGCCTGCAGGCAGCACTAGCTAAGCCAAGGTATGGTAAATGGGCAGGGGGACAGGGACACAGTAGGGTGGGGAGGGGGTACTCACGCGGAGCGTCGGTTGAGGCGGGTATCCTTGAGAGCAAAGATATGGACGGTGCCCTTATCACTGGAAGCGCAGAGAAAGGAGGAGTCGTGGCTGAAGTTAATGCTAGAAGACAGATCAGCAGTGATGTCCACATGTCATGTGGTGTTGGGGGTTCACCAGCCCACCATGCATACCCTGTGCTCACCAGTAGAGGGTAGCAGGGTCAGTGCCTCGGCGGAGCTCCACCAGTTTCTCCTTGGATTGTGTGTCAAAGAGGCGAATAAGAGTACCCTTCTGGGAGGCTGAGGCCACTACTGTGCCTGGCTGGTTCAGAGACACGCAGGCTATGTCACTCTGATGTGCATTGATGGTAAAGGGAGCAGATGAGGTGCCAGGCTTCGTGCTCGACAGGTCCTGGAGTAGGAGGGAGTCTGGGGTTGAGGTGGTATGGAGGGAAGGGACTGATTCCACAGGGAAAGCCAGTCCACCCACCTACCCGCCCTTGTCGACTGGTTGTCTCACCACAAGTTGCAGACTCCCACACTTGTGTCCCGGGAAGACTAACAGTTGCTTCTCCAGGCTGGGGCAGAGGTCACAGAGCCCTAGGGTGTGAAGATGAAGAAGGGTGGGCGGCTGGAGAGGAGGCAGCATGTCAGAATGGACAGAGCTGGATGAAGACCAGACTTCAACCCTCCATGATAAGCTGAACCCAAAGAATCCGCAGGGGGCTCAGCTCGGCTGCACACCTCGCCAGCTAGGCAGATTCCCTTCCTTGCTCTGCATCTGTGGAATCTAATAAGCTGTTATGACAGCCCCAGGAGGCTCACGGATACCTGACACACCCGCCCATGTCCTCACAAATTGTTTCTGCTCTGCCACTGGGGCACCCAGGGGTGGGGCAGGGCTGGAGGTGGGGAGAAATGGCTGGGAGCTGGAAAGATGGAGGGGCTGTGAGTGTGAGCATCTCCCTGCCTCTTTCCCCGTTTCTGTGTGTGTGTGTGCCCCTTCCTTTCTTTCCTCATCTCTGCCCCTCTGCCCCATCCACTGTTTCATGCCCTTACACCTGTGTATCTGAGCCCTCTCACCCTTGGGGTTGTCCCGGGTATCAAACTCAAACAGCTTTCGGGGATTGTCGGGGAAGGAGTACACATAGATGCGGTTCCTCAGCACGATCACGATCCTGTGGGTATCACACAACACAGGATGGCTGTGAGGGGACAGCGGGATGCCCAGGGAGGACTAACCCTTTCACCTGCTGTGGGGACCTCCTACCTCCCACCCCAGTCCTCCTCAGGCTCACTTGTCATGGCGCATGCGCACAGAAAGCACTGGCTTGGTGAAGGTGAACTCCAGCACCAGCTTCTCCTTGGAGTCCTTGCCCTCCCGGGCATCGTCCCAGATCAGCACTGCTGGGCAGGTGGGTGGGTTGTCGGGGCCAAGGTTTAGGGTAAGGGCAACCCTGGTGACACGGGGTCCACGCCTGCTTCCCAGGGACCTCAACCTACTTGCTTAGCCTTTTACTAAACACCCAGTAAGCACAGCATGAGCACTTGTGGATATAATCCCTGAGAGAAGCATTCTAGACTGTTATATTCATCTACAGATGAGGAAACTGAGGTTCAAAGTGGTTGTGTCTGGCCAAGGACCTCACAGCCCATCAGCAACCAAACAGGGACTCATACTCAGGCCTATAACTTCCCCTTGGTAACTATTTCTGCCTGCGGGGTCCTAGTCCACGCACCCTGGAGATTTCCATGAGGAATCCTAGGGCTCCATGACTCACCTAGGGCAATTCCTGCCCTGTCCAGGTGGTATCGGCAAGAAAAACCCTTAAAGCAAGATAGCACATGAGGCTCAAGCCAAGGGGGTATTGGGAAGGTGGCGCCAAGATTTGATAACCTATTGCTTGTGTGACCTTGGATGAGTCACTTAACTGCACTGGGCCTCAGTTTCCTCATTGGTAAAAAGGGGGATAATGATCCTTCTTATCCCATAGAGTTACTGTGAGGAGTAAATGAGTTAATATATTTAAGTGCTTAGGGCAGTCCCATGCTCACAGTAAGAGCTCTAGGTCATGGCACACAGGAGGCACTCAATCAGGGTTCTTAAAATGAAAACAAAGCACCAAGCTTCTCAAGCTATAAGATCCATGACTTCCAAGCTGTAGGCCTCCTCACTGTGTGACTCTGAAGTACTCTGATGTCTTCATCTCCCAGTGCCTTGGGGTGCCTGTGGGAGGCCAGGAATCCAAGAAATCTGGGCCAAAGGGCAGGATGAGGGCACTTACCTGAGATCTCTGAGAACTTGGGGCTACTACCACCGCCCACCAAGGCCAGAAGGTTGGAGCGGTGCAGCATCTCCACCAAGCCCATGCTGCCCACCTGCTCGTGGTCTGGACAGGGACCAGGGTGTCAGTGGAGGTGGGAGCCAATGCCCAGCCCAGCTCTTCTGCCCATTGCCCCTCCCCTGCCAACAGCTCACCCAGATGCCCCTTCTCCATCAAGGGCTCCACGTTGTAGATGCGCACACCTGTCTCCATGGCGCAGCAAAAACAGCCTGGGGGATGGAAGGAATCCGAACTGCCTTAAAGAATGCCCAGGTAGGCCCATGGCCCACTTCTGACTCCTCTTTCCCTCGCTCCCTCCCACAAGGGTACAGGCCCAAGCCTCTCTCACTTTGGTCTTGGTTGAAACGCAGGCTGGTCACTCCTCGAAGTGGCTGTTGAGTCATGGTCCAGGATTGTTTCCCTGGACACAAATGGGATAAAGATGAGAAAAGTCCTGGAGTCTCCCCTCCAAGTTCTGCCCCAACTGATTTCCTCCTCCTCCCACACTCTGCTAACTACTGATGGGAGGGACTGCAAAAAAGATTAAAAAAAAAAAAAAGGCTGGGTGTGGTGGCTCCCACCTATAATCCCAGCACTTTGGGAGGGTGAGGGAGGCGGGTGGATCACCTGAGGCCAGGAGTTTGAGACCCACCTGGCCAACGTGGTGAAACCCTGTCTCTACTAAAAATACAAAAGTTAGCTGGGTGTGGTGGTGCATGCCTATAATCCCAGCTACTTGGGAGGCTGAGGCTGGAGAATCGCTTGAACCCAGGAGACAGAGGTTACAGTGAGCTGAGATCCAGCCATCGCTCATTACCTGGGTGACAGAGTGAGACTCCCTCTTGGGCAAAAAAAAAAAAAAAAAAAAAAAAAAAGAGAGTCCCAGGATCTCTGCTCTAAGCTCCCAAGATCCCAGACAGCGTGGCCAGGAACCCTCCCTCTTTCAGATTTGGCCAGCTCCAGGACTACACTGACGTGGACCCCACACCTACTCCTTACATGCTGGCCCTCATTGACTTGTCAGGAAGTAATGTGATGGGGGTGCCCCCGTGGTATCTCTTCCCCACCCCCAGCCAATCTTGACCCCAATGCCAGACATGGCCTGGAACCACTCCAAACCCATTTCTCATCTTCACACCTGACCTAGCACTGGACTCTACCTATCAATAAATAGAGGAAAGTGGGCCAGGACATCCACTTCTTGTACCTCCCTGACTTGGCCCTGAGACTTCTATGCTTGGTTTGCCATCCCCAGGAATTCCTCTCATACCTTTCTAGCTCTACCCCAACCTAATCCATCACCCCAGAGTCCTCTCACACCTTTCCCCCTTACTGGCTTCCCCATACCCCTTCAGGATCCCATGCCTACTTGGGATGACCCCTTCTCATGCCTTGGTAACTACCATCAGGGCCAGCCTAGACATTTCCCTAGGTCTGCTTATGCCCTGGGGACTCTATCCTAGGATTCCCCTAGCACTCTAAATTTTCCACCCTGGGACATCTTTGTGTTCTGCTTTCCTTGACTCCAACATAACCTGGCCTGGACCCAACCCCAGGAACCTCACCCATCCCCCTAATATTCCCCTTCTAGAAATAGACCCCTATCCAAGACCCTGCCCCAGGGCACCCTTACCCTTTCAAGACCCTTGCCCAAAACAAAGCATCCAAAACTCCTGCCTAGGAGAACCTCAACCCCTAAGATGCCTGCCCAGTCCCCAACTTCCCTTCAAACCCTCAACTCCCAAGACCTCTGCCCAGACACACTCCCTCCCCATCCTCCAATAGTCCAAATCTCCTCCCTTTCTTTTGGTTACACCCTCCACTGGAATGCCTCATGCACATTCTTTGGACAGCTCTGCCTTGTCGCTATTCTCTGGACAGCTACACCTTTCAAGACCCCTTTTTTGCACCTCAATTCCAAACCCCCGAGCCACCCCAAACCCTGTCCGGGATGCCTCACCCCTCTCCCAAGACCAGCAGTATGCTCGTCCCAAAGCCAGCACCCACTTAAGACCTCTGCCTTAGACCTTTACTCGGAAGACTCCCAGCCTCCCCCAGACCTCAACCAACCCTGGGATCGTGCTCCAGCTTCCGGCCGTCTTCACCGTCCTGACCTCCGCGTGTCCCTGTCCCGGGCCCCAGCTGTCAGTGCCGCCTGCGGCCCGGTTTTCTGACCTCCCGGGCCTTGGCGCCCGACTCGGGTGTTTACATCAGGGCCCCACTTCCGGGGGAGGGAGCCTGCTGCAGGAAATGACTCACCCCAGCTGGAAAAAGGTTGCCACCGCCTTCCTCGCCCAGATCCCGGGTCTTCGGAGCATCGCCGGTGACAGCGGGGTCCTCCCGGGAGGGCGCGGGGAGCTGCGGAAGATCGGCTGGGGGACCGGAGGCAAAGGGGGCTCCCTAAGGCCGAGGCTGTCTGAGGGAACCGGGAAGGGTGGTGAGAGCGAGCGTGCTTGCCCCCCGCTGAGCGAAACCAGCCGAGTCCTCAGCGCCGCGGTCACTCGCGATAGGGGAGTAAACCTCCCCGGCGAACAGGACGCGGACCTCCGCGGCGGCCGAGAGTAGCGGCCCCTGTTCCCAACACAGAGGCCTTCCAGGCTTCCAGAGGGGCTATGCTGGGGTGCTGGGGACTCCAGGTGGGGGCGGACCTGGGGACTCCAGGCGGGGGCGGACCTGGAGACCTTGAAAGTGGAGAAACCTCCTTGGCTCTGGAAGCCAAGAAACGGATTTCATTTTCTTTCTCCCCACCTTGCCTCCAACCCAGCTAGCTCTGGGGTTTGTTGTTTTGTTTTGTTCTGTTTTGTTTTCTGAGACAGAGCCTTGCCCTGTTGCCCAGGCTGGAGTACAGTGGCGCGATCTCGGCTCACTGCAACCTTCGCCTCCCAGGTTCAAGCGATTCTCCTGCCTCAGCCTCCGGAGTAGCTGGGATTGCAGGCGCCCGCTACCACGCCCGACTAATTTTTGTGTTTTTAGTAGAGGGGTTTCACCATGTTGGTCAGACTGGTCTCGAACTCCTGACCTCAGGTTATTCACCCGCCTCGCCTCCCAAAGTGCTGAGATTACAGACTTGAGCTACCGCGCCTGGCCTCTTTTTATTTTTACAAAATGCAAAATAGCATTTGATGGTAAAAGGTATGAATGCTGTGGGTTTTTTATTTAAAAAAAGAGGTCCTATTATGATAAAGCTTAAAAAAAAAAAAAAAAAAAAGGCTGGGCACGGTGGCTCACGCCTGTAATCCCAGCACTTTGGGAGGCCGAATCGGGTGGATCACTTGAGGTAAGGAGTTCGAAACCAACCTGTCCAACATGGCAAAACCCCGTCTTTAATTAAAAAAAAAAAGCCACAAATTATGTGCATACTAGAAGGATTTTTTTTTTTTGGAGCCATGACTTGTATTGGAAGGATTTTTAATTAAACTTTAAGAAATAATACACAGGATTGCTTGAGGCCAGGAGTTTGAGACCAGCCTGAGCAAGACTCTGTCTCTACAAGAAAAAAAAAAAGATGTCATACACTCCACTCTCAGTGAAGGTGGAATAACAGGGCCCAAATTTGTCCTCTCACGGGAAACAACCAACTTTACCCCCCACAAAAAAAAAGCAAAATACATGAAACAATGTTTCTTTTTTGGGGGGGGTATGGATTCTCTGTCACCCAGGCTGGAGTGCAATGGAACAATCCCGGCTCGATGCAACCTCTGCCCCCCAGGTTCGAGGTGATTCTCCTGCCTCAGCCTCCCAAAGTGCTGAGATTATGGGCCTGAGCCACTGTGCCTCGTGGAAACAATTATTCTTAAGACATTAGTCAGGCACCAAAGGACATTGATCCCTGAAAGATAGGAAACAAGGTGAGCACTACAACTCTCCCAGCACACTGCCTGAGAGCTTCCATGCTATGGCACTGGAAGGGGAAACTGAGGCAGCACCTGGTAGACTCCCTAAGTTGAGGCAGTCCAGAGAGACAAGGGCAGCCAGAGTTTAAAGGACAGAATGTCAGGAGAGAGGAGCACAGAGAATCACAGAGATCTGCAAAGGGTCCCCCTTCAGTATTTAGCAGAGTACTTAACACATGCATATGAGCCAACTACTAAAGGCCAGGAAAAGAACCATCCAAGTGGATAGGAGGAACAGGTCCTGACATTCACATGGAGCTTTTGAAAATAGTGCTTGCTCCCACTTGGGATGTTTTAGTGCTTGTTTCCCACCCAGACTGGAAACTCCTAATTCACAAGGCATAGAGTACACAGGAAGGTCTTGTCGCGGTTGTGGGGAATAACGAGCCCTAGACTTAGTATTGCTCCAGGCTCACTTTACAAATAATAAAAAAAGACCCTAAAAGATCTATAGCAGGCCGGGCGCGGTGGCTCACGCCTATAATCCCAGCACTTTGAGAGGCCAAGGCGGGTGGATCACGAGGTCAAGAGATCAAGACCATCCTTGTCAACAAGGTGAAACCCAGTCTCTACTAAAAATACAAAAATTAGCTGGGCATGGTGGTGCGCGCCTGTAGTCCCAGCTACTCGGGAGGCTGAGGCAGGAGAATTGCTTGAACCCAGAAGGCGGAGGTTGCGGTGAGCCAAGATCATGCCATTGCACTCCAGTCTGGGTAACAACAGCGACACTCTGTCTCAAAAAAAACATTTATAGCAATTGCCGGACGCCGTGGCTCATGCCTGTAATCCCAGCACTTTGGGAGGCTGAGGCAGGTGGATCACGAGTTTAGGAGTTCAAGACCAGCCTGGCCAATATTGTGAAATCCTGTCTCTACTAAAAATACGAAAATCAGCCGGGCGTGGTGGCGGATGCCTGTAATCCCAGACTGAGGCAGGAGAATCACTTGAACGCAGGAGGCGGAGGTTGTGGTGAGCCAAGATGGCACCACTGCACTCCAGCCTGGTGACAGCGAAAGACTATCTCACACACAAAAAAAAATCTACAAGAATAACAAAGATTGATAGGAATAAAAAAAGACCCAGCTTCTAAAAAGGTAAAATTGACAATCTCTGTTACCCAGCAAAGATTACTAGGCATAAAAAGAACCAGCAGCCTGGGTGCAGTGGTTCATACCTGTAATCCCAGCATTTTGGGAGGCCGAGGACAAGTAGATTGCTTGAACCCAAGAGTTGGAGAACATCCTGGGAAACATGGTGAAACCCTGCCTCTACAAATAATTTTAAAAGTTCTACTATCACATTGGATATAAAATAAACAAACAAAAATGTTAGCTGGGCATGGTAGCACATGCCTGCAGTCCCAGCTGCTCAGGAGGCTGAGGTGGGAGGATTGCTTGGGCCCAGGAGGTGGAGGCTGCAGTGAGCCATCATGGGCCCATTGCACTTCAGCCTGGGTAACAAAGAGTGAGACCCTGTCTCTAACAATAAATAAATATACAAAATGAAAAGGACAGTATTCCAATGACCTAGTAACCTGTGGAAACTTGGATGAAAGTTCAGGCATTCCAGACTTGTACAAATTAATTGTATCTATATCTCAGAGAAAATCTTCCTCAAAACATGAATTTTTTTAAAACTGGGGAGACAGCTTCTAATTTAAACTGAAAATGCACACCCAAAACACAAATCTCTGAGATAAAAATTACTCTGCTCAGACCCAGTTGAGCCAGCTTTAATATTAGTGCCCTTCCTTTGTTACTGGAAAGGGGTCCTGATACAGACCTCAAGAGAGTGTTCTTGGATCTCACGCAAGAAAGAATTTGGGGTGAGTCCATAGAGTAAAGTGAAAGCAAGATTATTATTATTTCAGAAGGAGTTTTGTGCTTGTTGCCTAGGCTGGAGTACAATGGCATGATCTCGACTCACTTGCAACCTCTGCCTCCCCAGTTCAAGCGATTCTCCTGCCTCAGCCTGCCGAGTAGCTGTGATTGCAGTTGGCGGCCACCATGCCTAGCTAGCTAATATTTTTAGTAGAGATGGGGTTTCACTATGTTGGCCAGACTGGTCTCAAACTCCTGACCTCAGGCAATCCACCCACCTCCTGAAGTGCTGGGATTACAGGCATGAGCTGCTATGCCTGGCCATGGGTAGAGCAGCCCAGAGGACTGGTGGTTGTGATTTTTGTGGTTATTTCTTTTTCTCTCTTTTTTTGAGATGGAGTCTTGCTTGTTGCTCAGGCTGGACTGCAGTGACACGATCTTGTCTCACTCCAAGCTCCACCTCCCAGGTTCAAGCAATTATCTTGCCTCAGCCTTCCAAGTAGCTGGGATTACAGGCTTCTGCCACCATATCCAGCTAATTTTTGTATTATTAGTAGAGATGGGGTTTCACCATGATAGCCAGGCTGGTCTTGAACTCCTGACCCCAAGAGATCTGCCCGCCTTGGCCTCCTGCAAGTGCTGGGATTACAAGCGTGAGCCATCTTACCTGGCCATATTTCTTGATGATATGCTAAACAAGGGGTGGATTATTCATGCCTCCTTTTTTTAGAATATATACAGTAACTTCCTGATGTTGCCATGGCATTTGTGAACTGTCATGGTGCTGGTAGGAGTGTCTTTAGCATGCTAATGAATTACAATTAGCATATAATGAGCCATGAGGATGACCAGAGGTCACTTTCATCACTGTCTTGGTTTTGGCCGGCTTCTCTACTACAACCTGTTTTATCAGCAAGGTCTCATCCTCCTATCTCATCCTGTGATTTGGAATGCCTAACCATCTGGGAATACAGCCCAGTAGGTCTCAGCCTTATCTTACCCGGCCTTTACTCAAGATAGATTTGCTCTGGTTCAAATGCCTCTGACACCTTGGAACAATTGGCCTTTGTGGTGTGAGTCACTAAACATACCTTTCTCTAATGCATCCCAGAAAATGAATTAAGTTTGTGGATTGAGGAAGTAAGTTTTACTCTGATGTTTTAAAAAGCAGCATCCTGATTTCCGTGTGCCTTCATTTCATAACTAAAATATGTTTTAGCTCACTGTTGTAAAGTGAAATAATAACTCTTCATTGAACATTCATTCATTCATGTATAGGAAAAGTATTTATTGAGTGCCTACGACATACCAGGCACATCATACTAGAAGATGCTGGGAACAGAACAGGAAGCAGAACAATATTTTTGTCCTTGATAGAAAAAGATGAAAACACACACACACACACACACACACACACACACACACACACACACACCATGGAGTGGAAAAGAAATAGGAGGTAAGAAGGGCTGGGGTAGAGATTACTATATTTGGGGTGGTCAGAGAAGCTTCTTGAATAAGGTGACATTTGAGCAGAGAAGGAAGTGAGGGAGTGAGCCTTGTGGATATGAGGGGAAGGAGCATTCCTAGCAGAAGGAACAGCAGGCTGGAGGACAGAGGCGGGAGGATCTCTTTAGCTCAGGAGTTCAAGACCAGCCTGAGCAACATAGCAAGACCAGTTCTATATTAAAAAAAAGAAAAAC